CCCAATTTATCAATATCAATACTTTTAAACAGGATTTAAAAATATTTGAGGTATTTTTAAAATTATTTTGATTGCAAAATATTTATTATAACCACATGTTGCTGAGGCAATGTTATATTTAAAAATATCTCAAACAGAAAATAATACTCTAAGGCTGTTAAAAATTATGATTTAAACTTCCATACTATTACCATAATGCTGTTTACAATATATACCCAAAACTCTATATTTAATAGCTTAAAGACAAAGAATTACTAGCTAGCTTCATTACTTGATGATAGATTCCCTTGCTTCCTAAAACATTATTGTAGCTCGGCTTCTAAAAAAGGCAAAAGAAAAAAAATTATGTTCACTGAACTGGATTAAAAAAATAAAGACTATTAAGAACACAGGAAGAGGGAATTAAATACAGTAACAAATTATACATGAATCTTCTCAACTTAGATTTTCATGCATCCTTACTTTACTATCCTGTTTTTATTAATATTCCATCACATACACCAAAGACAACCAACCCAATTTAAATTAGAAGGGATAATGTAATTCCAAGCCTTAAAAACCCTGGAACAAATGTACTGTATAACAGGAAGATCTCTCTTGCCTTGATTAAAGCAATGTAATTGTGGCAGATGTCATTTGTCAATCAAAAAAATACATGCCTGATTTCTTTTCTAATGTGGAAGAAGACTGAAATGTATTTTTATTTGTGGCTTTAAGAAAAAATACCCTTCAAGTGTTGTGCTTGGTAAATTAACTTTTAGAAGGATGAAAAATACCTTAAATGACAACGTCATATGTGATTAACTATCTGTAACAATTGCCCTCCCCCAATGAAGCCCATCTTCCAAAATCCATGTTAAAATTTTCATTTTAAAAAGCTAGACAGGCTCCACCACATCTTTTGAATATTAATAAAATTTGATTTTGTCTATCAACATGTTTTTAAAATGCTACTTGATGTTTTTATCTTTAATAATATACAACAAAAAACAGCATTAAAAATCGGAAAAGAAGAGAAAATATTCAAAGCATTACTAAATTGAGAATGACTTTGTTCTGGATGTTAAAGAACTAACTTCCTGCTAAGAAGAAATGCTCAGAGGCTCTTCATGAAAAAATGCTAAAGAAAGTGGTATTATGATACTCATGACAACCACCTACATAACATTGTGTAACAGAACAGTGCCAACTAGGTAAAAATTATTCTAATAACTTTTATTTTTTCCAAAATTGCAATCAAGTAAATATATTTAATAAACTATTATTTATTTTAAAAAAACCAAATAGATCATGATAGTATTTTAAAACAAGCAATCTCTAGGATGTTGAGTGCACAATTCTGAACTCAACCACGTGAAGTCCTTATACTGGCAGTTGCCTCTCTTGGGGGACAGGGGGTTGAGAGGTTAGAATTTTAAAATGACAGCAAGAATGATGGCAGAAGTCAGTGAGGAGCAAGCAATAAGAAAGTTTGGTCCTAAGGAGGCAGTTGAAAGAAAGGAATCTCATGGGCTCACTGGACTCTATCATCAGGGCTTGGTGCCCTTCAAGGAGGTCAATAGAGAGGACTGGAACAAGGAGTCAGGTGAGATTTGCTGGTATGGAAGGAATTTGTTCAAAGGGCTACATGAATAAAAAGAAAGTCTGGAGTATAACTAGAGAGTTATATATATAACTGGGAAGTTATTCTCGGGAATGAAATGGCTATATTGTTTGTGCTACTGTGGAAGGAAATTCTGAGTTAGTTGCTGATACTTAAACACCTGCAATAATTAACTGTGCTCTTCAGATATAAGTGGGATGAGCTTTGACAGATGTTCCAAGTAAGGAAATAAAAGACTTGGGGTTAAAACTACTTTGTGACTCCTAAAGTGGAAGGAATGGAAGGAGACACTGTGCCATAAGTTTAAGGCCAATAGCTTTGAAACTCAGATTGATCTGTGTGACAGTTAATAAGGCTGAGTGTCAAACTTGACTGGACCATGCGGTGCCCAGATATTTGGTCAAACATTATTCTGGTATTTCTGTGAGGATGTTTTTCAATGAGATTAACATGTAAATTGGTAGAATGAGTAAAGCAGAATGCACTCCATAATGTAGATGGGCTTCATCCAATCAGCTAAAGGTCTGAATAGTATAAAAATGTTAATCCTCCCCAGAGTAAGAATTCTTCCGGTCTGACTACCTTCAAACTGGGACACTAGCTCTTCCTGCCTTTGGACTTAGACTAGAAGTATACCATCAGCTCTCCTGGGTCTCAAACTTGCCTACTGATCCTGATCTGGGGACTTGCTACCCTCCATAATTGCATGAGTCAATTCCTTATAATAAATCATATATATAATCACACATACACACATAAGCACACCTCAGTTATATCGTGGGTTAGGTTCCAGACCACTGCAATAAACTATCACAATAGTGATTCACACAAATTTTTTGGTTTCCTAGTGCATATAAAAGTTATGTTTACACTATAGTCTATCAAGTGTGCAATAGCGTTATGTCTAAAAAAATGTATTAATACATACCTTACTTTAAAAATACTTTATTGCTAAAACATGCTGATACAGCAATACAAAGTGAGCACATGCTGTTGGAAAAATGCTACCAATAGGCCTGCTCAATTTGTTAAAAAAAAAAAAAAAAAAAGAAAAGGAATATTTGCAAAGTGCAATAAAAGCAAAGCACAATAAAGTGAGCTATGCCTATATATCCTATTGGTTTTGTTTCTCTGGAGAACACTAATATAATGTGGGTTCAAATCATGGTTCTGTTTCTTAGTAGCAGTGTGACCTTAACCAAGTACCTTAACCTCCTTGAGCCTATAAAATGGAAATAGTTCATTTAGCATAAGATTGTAACAGGGATTGATTGCAGTACATAAAGTATTGAGCACAGGGCCCAGCACACAGTGCTCAATAAATGAACATTGTTGTTGTTATTATAGAAGGCTCTACTTTGAGGGTAAAAAAAAATCCAAATCCAAATTGAAACAGGGCCTAAAGATGTATTCTTGGTGATAAGGGTGGTATCAAAGTGAGTAAGAATTGTCAAAGTTTACCCTAGCCAACAGCAAAGTGTCCTTTGTTTCTTCTTTCCTTGTAGTCTTCCATTTCTATGAAAGCCACTACCTGTTTTTTCCCTCATGTAACTCTGTATGAGAAATTTTAGCTGGACCACATTCTAAAACCCTAATTAGAATTGTGTTAAAATCTTTCAAACACACACCTCTACTTTCTTGACTTAATTAATTAAACATAGTGGATGTGCCTTAAGTCTTCTGATATAGGATTTTGCAGAATGCTGGGTTATCATTGAAAAAAAACATTAGTAATCACTGTAACATATTTTCAAAACGAAATCTCTGATAGCAACTTACTATGCTGTCATTAGTCTTTCATAAAATTGACTGTGACAACAACTCCAGTCTGCTTAGAGTTCTGGCTAGTATAGTTTTACTATAAAGATCTCCCTCTCTTTAACAATGATAATGACTATGGAAAAAAATAAATAACATCTCTTCATTTTATACTCTTAAATCTCAGAGTAGGCCATGATTGCATAGAAATTGATTCTATTTCCAATGTAAACACCCATTTAGCAACTAGTCTTAACTATTCACAGAAGCAGCAGAGGTACTGAAATTTCTATTTTAAAAGATTATGAAGATTAGCCAACTCCTCTGAGACAAGAATCTAACAATGCCAGTGTGTGGATGATAGTTATGGCCTGGAGAGCTAGACAAAGCCCCACCATCTTGAATCTAAAAGTACACGGTACTATTAGATCCCAAAATAATTTAGAGTTTGGTTGTTGGTTTTATTTTACTTTGTTCCTGCCTCATGGATGGTGGTGGTAGGAGCTGGAAAAGGGTTAGAAGGGCATTAAAAAGAAGAATACTGTATCCCCTAGTAGCAACCTAGATCTGCAGTGCAATCCCTCTCAATTATTTAAAAACAAAAACTTTCCATTTCCAAAATGTCAATCTGGTTCTGGAAACCCACATCTATTCTATGAAACAAAACACCACAAAAAATGTAGCTCTTACTACATAAGCTATTCTAGATGGAAGAGATACAAAGACAGATACTAATCCACACTCCCAAGAGCTTAGTATGGTGGGGGAAGAAAATCTGTATGCAAACGGGATTCCCAACAGTGACCAATAACTGAATAACAGAAGTGTGTTCAAAGCAAACAGGTACAGGTGGGGGCAGGGAAGGCTTTGCAGAAATGCTAACAGGCTACCTACAGCATGCAGGTGGCCCATTCCAAGGTTAAGTATTTATCAAGCAAAACCTCTGCTTCCAGCCCCAAAATTTTAATTTCTGAACATGAGAACCTTTATCTTAAGGTTCTTATACATCATATACACACACAACGGGAAACCAGCTCAATTTGAGAACATGATCCATCATCATTCACACCTGTTCAATTTAAGGGCCTCCCCAAAATTACACTGAGGAAAATTTGGTTGCACCTGCGCAAAATTAGAAAAGACCTCTGTTGCTATATAAGCAACATAAAACACTATGCATACTCGTGGATGCATTTGTTACAAATATTAGATTATTAGTAACTGTCAGCCCTATAAAAACGGTTTTAAGGTGGATATAAAACCCTAAAGAGCTTGCAAGTTCCATGGCCACATCTGAAAGATTTCCGATTTACAAAGGCCAATGTGGTATTTCTGGAAAAACAACTGAAAATTATACTTGCCAATTCCTGTCATTCATTCATGTCACAATCCCCAAAGCTACCTTCTTCATGCCACAACTAACCTCCCACCATTCTTCCCTAAGAAAAGGGCATAGACTAAGTTTTCTTTTAAGGGTATAGCCTTCAAAAACTTGAAATAGAAAAAGTTGACCCAACCATTGGGAAATGTTCCCATACTACCATTTAACCTGCCCAGTTTGTCATTATATTTAATATATCGTGATTTTCAACATCATCTCATGAGGTCCAAGGCTGTACGAACATTGTTTTTTTCATACCTGCCTAGGGAAACAAACCCTGCGAAACCTGAGGACACCACACCGACAGAAAGCGGGTCACTGTGACACGGCAGCTCGCCCTGCAAAGTGAAAATTGCGGTTCACTTTTCGCTGACGGAGCTTCCTTCCAGGACCCCGACTTTCACCAAGGACCCAGAGTGTCGATTTCACAAGGTGCCTGGCACCGCCTGCTTAAAAAAAGGCAGCTTTTATCTGGTTCCTGGACGGTCACCCCGGTACGCAGGGCTCAGGCGCAGCACCTGGGTTTTGTGGCAGCGGCGTTGGTCACCGACGCCCGGGCGGGCTCTGTCCACGCTGCCGGCCCGAGCCCCACACCTCACCCCGTCCACCAGGGAACTTTCCAGAACCCTGCCTGCCCACGACAGGCCCGGGGTCGCCGTCCAGGAAGACACCTGGGCGCCCACCCTGAGCAGGGCCGGGCGAGGGGTGCGCGGCCACGCGGAGGACACCCTCCGGCCCGGCCTCGAGTCGCCCTGCGGGGCCCCCAACCCTCGTGCGGGGCCCCGTCCTCGAGGAGGACCCACGGCGGGGAACGAAGGGGAAGAGCAGACCGACGCTCGCCGCCCGCCTCGCCCTCTCGGCCGGTCTTTACCTCGCGAGACCCCGAGGACGCCGCGCGAGCTAAAATTAGCACGCAGCGCGGCGCGCTCACGTGCGCGCGGCCGGCCGGGCGGGGGCGGGGCCGGGGGCAAGGGGCGCGGTCGGGTGAGTCAGCTGCCCCGCCCCCGTCGCCAAGAACGCGCTGACGTCAGCCGCTTCCCCGAAGGGTGACGTAAGCGCGCCAAGAGGAGGCCGCGAGGCCGCTGGTACAATGTTCAGAGTTTCGATGTCTTAAAGGGGCCAAGCCTGGGACCGTGACAGCTCTGGGTAGACGACTCCACTCCCCCTCCCGTGGATTCACAGCCGGTCTTACTCCCCTTTGTACTTAGGAGTGTTGACTGTCGGGATGGTGATGAACACAGGAGAGCAACTGGGCCTCCTTGAAGGTTCCTTGAGGTCTCAGAACCTCCTCCTGGAAGCCCTCCTTGATTAACCAGATAGATAGCTGTCTCAGTTGCCCCCTGATTCGGACCCTAAATTCAGGAGCAGTTTTCGATGGCCCCTAACTCCTTAACCCTTCACTTACAGCCTCTCAGCGCATGCTCATGCCTCTGCTGGTAGAGAAAGGCTGTGGTTTAAATATATATTTATGTAATCCATCAACTTGGGCCAGCTGGGCACTGTTTTGACTGTGTCTAAACTGTCATTGATCATGTGACCAGTTACTTAATGCCCTGGGTGTTAAAACTCATGCACTTGTCTGCAAACCCTCCTCCTGTGCTACTGTTGCCTGGGGAAGCTTCCAGAGGCCAGGATCGCCGTCCAGCACTCGATCGTGCAGCACTATCACAGGGAGCTAGCAGTTTACAGAGGACCATGCAGGACCCTGAGAAAGAGGGCCCCCTTCGACTTTGCACCTTGGGCACCTTGCTGGTCCCAGCCCTGCCAGACCTGTCCTTGTCTCTGTGTTTCCTCTCTGGAAACCAGAGAGGCCATCCTGCCTACAGAGCCCTCCCCTGGCATGCCAGTGGTCAGTCTGCCTAAATGCAGAAGCAATACTTCGTTTCTCCTCTGTCCTAATCCCCTCTGCACTGTGAGACAAGAGAACGTTTTCTATCGGAACAGCCTGTTTGTACCAAAAACTAATTAGAGACAACGACAGCTTCTCCAAGTTTTGGGCAAAGTGATGGTGACTGTGTACTGGAAATGGAGCCATGTGAGTGAGCCGCTGTCACTACTATCTTCTGACAATCATTACTGGGCTTCGGCTAGGTGTCACGGCACCATGCTCAGGCTGCACATGCTGGCTGTGCCAGAATCACCTTCCTGCCCCAGCTCACTGCTGGGAAACATTTCACACTGACTCCTCTTCCCTCCCCAGTCTCCAGTGGCCACCAAGCTCTCCCCTTTGTGTCCCCCTGCTCCTGCCCCTCAGGCTAATAGAAGCATTGCCCACTGCTCTTCCTGTTTGGCCAGGTTTTCTAGTGCCTGTGGCAAAACAGCTTCTGCGAGCTCCCCAGGAGAGGGAGAAAACCACAAGCAGCCACAGGTATTTGGGGGGGGTGGGGGTAGCCACATGTTCCTCTCTATTGGGGCTGGACACACAGATATGGAGGCTTAGAGCGATAGACTACCTTCAGGCCAACCAGGCAGGCCCCCCCCCCATTTTATAACTAAGGTCCAGGTGAGTTGACCTTCCTGGCCCTGTTAGTGACTACAGACTCCTAGTCACCTGACTTCCAGACCACTTCTTCTCCATGGATCAGACACACCCCTGTAAGACTCAGGTAGTGCAGTGATCGTGAACGTGCACGGCAAACTGAAACATGTCATATATGATGGAAGGGAAAACATGTAATGACATGAGGTAAAAATATAGATGCGCAATCGTAGGGAAGAATTGGAGAATGTGATCTTTTAGGCCCACTGTCCATTCCCGTGTCCCCCTTCCTTCTCTCTCTCTACCACCCAGTTTCAAGACAGGTGAGTGGCTTGTTCCTCCTCAAACCCAGGAAACCTTTCCCAGTGGAATGACACGGTGAGGTGGATTGCCATTTTTAAACCTTCGGTAATACAGATCTTGCGTGTCATTTCAGGTTTTGACTTTTTAATCTGCCAGCCTTCACTCCCCACCCTTTCTCTATCCCAAAAGCCCCATTAAATGTCATTAAGAGCCATAAATGTGACAGGCCACTAATGTGGAAGGATTGTGATCTCCAGCAAGCAGCCCTGGCAATGGAAAGAGCAGGAATCCTGGGTCATTTTCCAACTGTGCCGGTGACTCACTGTGTGACACAAAGCAAAGCCCTCCTTCCTTTCGCGGAGGAAGAGACACAGGGCAGCGGGACACACACAGCCTGCTCCCTGACAGAGGCGGGAGGGTTTCCCAGCGTTGCGGGGGCTCAGGGATGCCTGGCTGAATGCAGTTCCATGGTGACTCCTTAGCAGCGGCCCTCAGGTCAACCAGGAGCTCTGTCCACTTCAGCTCCTGCTCCAATAGCTCCTGTTCCACACTCAGATGGTTTGGGCTGGACTATGTCACTTGCCCTTCATGACATCATTGTCATAGGTTAGAAATGCACCCTGGTTATTCCTAACTCCATGCTAATAACTTGCTCTAGAGCTGCCCTCCAGGAATTTATTCGAAACTTTATTTGTTTATATTTCAGCCTGTACAACTTTTTCAGGCAACAATTAGATTCACCATGTGTATAAAAGCACTTAGTTTCTGCAACACAAAAAGTGCAGCATAAGGTTTTGTTATAGTAGTAATAATCACGATAATTCAATAATCGTAATATAGTATGTTATGCATAATAAGTAATGAATAACTTGATGATAATAATTAATAATTACTAATTCAGATGGCCTCACAGGCTTCTTATTTTCAGTCACCAGCTTTGTCTTTATCTTCCCATACACTTCTCCACCTCCCCATCAAAATATTTATTAATGGAGTAAGGAGCTATGATAGTTGTAACTCTGCACAAAAAATTACAGCTAAACAGATTCAGTGTCCTCTAAGGACTTGTCATCTAAGATCAACATATGGGAGGTGTTTGTCTTAGTCAACCTGGGCTGCTTTAACAAAATACCCTAGACTGGGTGGAGTAAACAGTAGACATTTCTTTCTCCCAGTTCTGGAGCCCCTGGGGAGTTCAAGATCAAGGTCCCAGTAGACTCGGTGTCTGGTGAGAGCCAGCTCCTTGGGTTGCAGACAGCCACCTTCTTGCTGTGTCCTCACGTGGCCTTTCCTTGGTGTGTGCCCCTGGAGAGAGAGCTCTTCTGTCTCTGCCTCTTCTCATAAGGGCACTAATCCCATCATGAGGGCACCATCCTCGTGACTTAATCTAAACCTAATTACCTCCCAAAGGCCCCACCTCCAAATACCCTCATACTGGGGGATAGGGGTTCAACATATGATTTTTTGGGGGAGACACATTCAGCCATAAGAATGCTCAATACATACTAGACGAATGGGTGGATGGGTAGAATAACCACATGGACACACCACGGTGCAAAGCATAACAATGTTGCAGTCAGTAATGGACTGAATGATGACAGTGGTCCCATAAGATTATAATGGAGCTCAAAAACTACTATCATCTAGTAACTTCATAGTTGTTGTAACGTAGTAGCACAACACATTACCTTTTCTATGTGTAGATACACGAATGCTTACCACTGTGTTACAGCTGCCTGCAGTGTTCAGTACCGTAAAGTGCTACCAGGTTGGCAGCCTGGGAACAGCAGGCTGTGTGTACCATACAGCCTAGGTGTGTATAGTGGGCTGTACCATCGAGATTCGTGTGCGTACACTCTATGATGTTTGCACAATGACAAAATCACCCAACAATGCATTTCTCAGGACATATTCCCACCTTTAAGTGACTCATGATTGTATATGACATCCCGGAAAAGGCAAAACGACAGAGCAAGTAAAAAGAGCAGGGGTTGTTGTGTGTTCGTGGGAAGGAGGTGTGAATGGGCAGAGCACAGAGGATTTTTAGGGCAGTGACACTATTCGGTATACTATATTGGTAGATACATGTGATCAAAAATTTGCCCAAACTCACAGAATGTACAACGCCAAGAGAGAACCCCAACGTAAACTATGGACTTCTGGGAATACTGATGTGTTAATGAGGTTCATTGATTGTAAGAAATATACCAGTCTGGTGGGAGGTGTGGGTAATGGAGGAGCCTGTGGAAGTGTAAAGAGAGGGGGTATGTGGGAAATCGCTCTTGTACTTGCCTCTCAATTTTGTTCTGAACATAAAACTGCTCTACAAAATAAAGTCTGTTTTTTTTTTTTTTCAAAAGCCAGGTGAGATGGTAACACCTTTCTGTAGTGCTCACTCCACTGTGGGGTCACACAGACTTGGGCTGCAGTCTGAGCCCCCTCACTGGCCAGCTCTGTAACCTTGGGAAAGTTTCTTAACCTCTCTGATCTCAGTTTCTCTAACTCCACAGAGATTGTCGTGCTTTCCTCAGAGCATTTTGAGAGTTCGATGCAAAGCTATATGAAAAGACTCTAACCCAGCACCTGGAATACATGGCATGGTAGATATATACAATCCTCCCACCCCCAATTTCTCCCTAATGACTGTGATTATTATATTGATTATTATCTATTCAGTTGGCTACTAATTTTAAATCAGGCCAGTGGGGAAAGCTGTCTTGGGTGAAAGTGTCTCTCCTGCTAGGAAGGGAATCTGTGGGGGTGGGGGCGGGGAGCATGGGTGTCCTCAGTTGCCCAGCCAGAGGTGCTGGCCACAGAAGGCCAGCAGTGCACTGGAGCCCTGGGTCAGTGTCAAGCCCCTCACTCAGCTTTCTCCCGTGAAAAGGTCAGGATGATGGAAGGCTGTCATATTTAGATGATGGCTCGCAGGGAAGCCTCGGTGGGTTAGTCACCTATGATATGACATCATATTGCCACTCAATATAGCAACAGCTGTTGGTTGCTTTGGGGTGTTGGGGGCGGGGCCAGCTTTAGTTGACCAACCATGCCTTGAGGATAAATTGGATGGGACCAGATGGGAAGACGCAACGAGAGGAGAAATCCTTCTCTAAGTAGGTTGCTCCACAGTTTCCTAAGGATTTTCAGCCCCTCACCCCAAAA